CAGTTACCCGGGCGCGCACTGTTGCAGAACTCCTCTTTAATGGCCAGACGATTCGTTCCAGCTCCAGCCGTAATGTACCTATTGTGCGTTTACCTGCCTCCTTAACTTCACCTTGGACCAATATCTCTAGTAGAGCCTTTTCGTAAGTAGCTGCATTTAGAGATAGCTGAAGGATAAACAATGCTTAAGTAGCGGAGATAGTGTGGATTAACTCTCCAGGTAAAATGTATAAAGGTCTAAGTCTTATTTCCCTGCGTATTTATAGTAAGTAAGAATCTTCTCGTAACAAGTACTATTAGTTGTAGTCGTGTCCAACCGATCACGCAACACTAACAGCCTCGCCATGAATAACTCCCGGTAAAATCTTCGGGTAGCCGGCAGCCGCAAATTGAGTGGAAAGAGCTTTGTTTAGCCATAATTCGTAGAACCACGTGTAATATTAGGGGATGAATAGATTGTCTGGCAGTCCCGGCCATCTCCAGGTCTTGGCAATTCGGAGCTGTTGGATGCGGGGGCTTGATATAAGGCGTGAACGGCGCCGCTGCGAAGGTCTCAATCCATGCAGACGTTTATCTCTGTCAAAATGAGGTCGACAATATTCCTAGGGCTCATACATCTCATAGTCCCCTTGGTCCTCGCCGAAAACATCCGGGCCATCTTCCTCTTCAAAGATGTGCTCAAATCTGACACAACAGCACTGCGAACATCAGGCTTCAACAGCCTCATAATGTTTGGCGTCGGAATCCTGAGCAACGGGGATATCATGTACTACTCAAACACGCCCGGGAGCAAGGACACGCTCATCGCATCAAAGGGGGCGTACGTCGGCGGCGATGCTCTGGCCCAAAAAGTCCGCTCATTCAAGACCGGGAACGACACAGGCGTCAACCGACTCGAGATATCCATGAACTCGCAGAACATCAAAAATCTAATGTCAAGCCCTGGTCCCGGCGCAGACACACCTCTGTATCGCAACTTCGCCGCCCTCAAGGAGGCATGGACCCTCGACGCCGTGAACAACGACGACGAGTCCCTCTACGATGTCGCGAGCACGATTAAGTTCGCCAAGATGCTAGGGCAGATTGGATACAAATACTCCATTTCGCCCTATACCAACACGCGCTTCTGGTCCAGTCTCAAGACGCAGATCAACAGCGGGCTGCAAGAGCCGAATTTGCTCATGGACCGGGTGTATCTCCAGTGCTATGACGGTGGGGCAAACAACAACCCGGCTAGCTGGCAAAGCACTCTCGGGATGAAGGTGGTGCCGCTGATCTGGGTCACCAACGACTCGAAGCCAACGTATGGGGCGACGGCGGCACAGGCACAGTCGAGGTTTTCGAGCTGGAACCGGGCGAGCGCGTTGGCGGGGGGTGGGTATTGGAATGACTACGACATTGAGAAGATGAAGCTGTCTTATAAAGATTACGGGAACGCTTTGAAGAGTGTATTCCCATAGCTTCGATTTAGGGAGACTCCTTGAATTTGTCTGAAAGGGGTCCCCAGGACACAGCTAGTTCTATTACTTCCAGAAAGAATAAGCTCGGGTTAAAATGGAAACGAACGTACAATCTGGTTTTCTACGAGCTTGCAGTTTTCTGTCTGTATATGTATGACTATCCAGCTGGAAGAAAATCCTTCCCCCGGAGGAACCTCTCCGGCCCCACTTCCACCCATCCCGGCTCCGAGGCCCGGAATCGGGGATGCGGGGTGCGCGATTTGCGGACTGCCAAAGTCAACTCCCCAAATGCACCGACACTCAAACTACCAGCCAACTAAAATCCGTGATCCGCAAATATGGCAGACAACTCCGGAAAGTGGAAATACACTGCCCTCCAAGGCTTCTTCGCCCACTACGATGGCCCGACAGGTCCGTCCCACGAAGCCGTAAGCTCCCTCCTCATTCCTTGAGTTCTCATCATCAATGCAAATCTCACCCTGGATCAGACAACAACCCCCGGCCTCGGCCTCCTCCCCCGCACATACCCCACAGACAGCGACTTCGACCCCGACGGCACCAAGCAACCCTGGGAGCGCTTCGCCTTTTACCTCAGCCACCTCAACCAAACGGCGCCCCCTGGTACCTCTTACAAACTCTTCTACACAGCCCGACACGGCGAGGGTTTCCACAACGTCAAGGAAGCAGAAGTCGGCACCGAAGCCTGGGAGGTACCTACCTCCCTACTCCAACCCCCTTCCCCCTTTTCATAGGTATATATATTAATGAAAGATAAAAGGCATACTGGGCCAAACTAGAAGGCGACGGCAAAATAACCTGGAGCGACGCCTGCCTCACCGAAAAAGGAACAGCCCAAGCCAAAGAAATGCACACATTCTGGGCCGAATCGTCGTCTACACTATCCCTCCCCCTCCCGAAAAAACACTACGCCAGTCCCCTCGCGCGATGTCTCGACACCTGTGCGCTGGCCTTCTCTGACCTCCCCTCTCCGGCGCCGGAGTTCAAGCCGATCATCAAGGAAATGGCGAGGGAGAGGCTGGGAGTACATACCTGCGACCGCCGGCATCCCCGGAGTTGGATTGAACGGAACTATGGGGAGGTGTTTAGTCTCGAGGACGGATTTGCGGAGGAGGATGAGCTGTGGAGGCCGGATGTGAGGGAGACGTTGGGGGAGCATGCGGGGCGGATTGCACGGTTGCTGGATGGGTTGTGGGAGGACGAGGAGGAGGAAGAGATTGTGTCGTTGACGGTGCATTCGGGGAGTATTTTGGCTATGTATGAGGTTGTGGGTCATCCTGAGGTTAGGGTGGCGCCCGGGGCTGTTGTGCCTCTTTTTGTGAAGGGTGAGAGGGTTGTATGAAATGCAAATAGTCAGGTTAGGTGGTAGAAGTTTGACGGATGGGAGGATGGAAGGGGCAACTGAAATGGTCTATTGCGAGTGAACGTATTTGCGAAGACGACTTTTTAAACTCTAACCTCATTAATAGGGGGTCTGGGCCAATGCCCATGTAGCTGGCAGACACCCCGGAGCCCCAATTTCATCTTCCTCCTTGACGGGACAGCCCACGACCACCTGTCGAATACCCGATTCCATGTATACCCGATGATTCGCTGATAATCTCCTTGTGTTGTTGCGTTGTAAAATGCACTGAAGCTGACATCTTGGATCACCTCCCAACAGAGGGTATAGAATCGATTATGAATCGGTCATACCGGCCCGTCCCCCTAAAACGCTTTTATCCCATCCCGAATAACAACCGGCCGGGGAACATTCCATCCTTGAACACTGTAATGTTGAAACGCAGGCTGAAAATCGTAGTAGCGGTAAAATGAGAATACAAAACACATGAGTTGTAATCAGAAATCATCGCTGAGTGGTTTTTTTGTTGTTTTTTTCTTCTTGGTGGACGTATAAACCCGAGACCGCAATTCGAAGAAACGAAGAAATTTTCCGCTCGGTGAATTGCACAACAAAATACAGAGTGAGAGGCCCGTGCCCGCCATCTCTTAGGTACTCAGCGGATTTCCTGAAATATTACAGGTTCCGGTCTGATGGTTTCTTGGTCGTATAAAACGACGCTGGAAGGAAACCATTCGGGGGATCGGGGTTCTCACGCCGGTCGATCTGTCTTTCATGTCATTTTCTGCTGTTCCAGATAGATACACATTCTTACCCTTCCATTCACGATGATGGGGGGCTGTTTCTCCCTGGGAACAAAATCTTTTACTTTGCTCATGTCGATGTCCCATAGGGAGAAGACCGGACGTGATGGACAGGACGCCGTTCGGCGCCCGGCAGACCCATCAGGTGCGGAGCTGCCCGGATGAGTCGGCGGACCTGGTTCGGAACTCGGAGAGTTGGCCGGGCTTTCCGTCACAGCTGAAACTGGTGTCGGAAGCTGCTCGGCGTTAAGGTTCGGTTTGGAAGACGGAATGTGCTCTGGACGACCTCGGGGCTCGGTGTTTGTCGTGCCGTTGGTCCCGTCTCCGGGTTTTGAGCCGTCAGGAATCATGTTGGTAAGAACTGTAGGCGACAAAGTATGCTGGAGGTAAGAGAGAAGCGGAGACGAAGAAGATGCTGGGGAAATGTCTGGACTAAAAGGGGCGGAGGTGGGCGATCATATATACTCCTGGGGAGCCCAGCGGACGAAGTGTGCCCCTTCAACGATCCTCCGCTCACAGCAGGTACGGAGCCAGCATGTGAGATGGGCGGAAAAAATGCACACCTGCGGCATTCCGGCAGGACGAAGGGGGGATGAGCATTGCACAGGTGGAAGTCATGACTGTTGGTAGCATGCGTCCTGCTGGTCAACCTACGCACTGGTCCAGCATTCCACTGTCTTGAGACTACATGTGGTCGGATGTTCTGAGTCCACCGCAGGAACGTCCGCTCCATCTGGTCTCAATCGACAAAGGCACATGCTCCCCGGCTCCTTCTCGTCCGAATATCTTCGCCCTAGGTTGCAACCCAGCTAGTAACTACTGTCGCTCCTGCATCTCCCAGTCTGTCGGGAAACAGGCAACCACTCCACAGATTCAGAACCCTCGGGCCTCCGTGCCTCTCTGCCTCTCTGCCTCTGTGCCTCTGTGCCTCTTGCCCTCTTGGAGACGTGCGCGCGAACGAGTGATGCCATTCCTTCGCCACTCCTTTTTGCAAAACTGTGAGCAAGATGGGGCTTCATTTGCGTTTCCGGCAAGAGCTGTGGATTCCACGGTCCGGAGTACTATTTCAGAGGTGTCGGCTGGCGACATAGAGGCATGAGGTCCCTGCAGCGTTCGGCCCATGAAGAGGAGCCATGACTGAGAAGCGCAATGGTGACGGAGGACGATGGGGAGGGCTGGGCTATTAGGAATGTATCTAGCACTAGACACCTGGAGCAAAAACGGGGCTTGCAAAAATAGCACGCACTTGTTTGTGAGAATGGAGGAACCAGAAACCATCGGCAGCAACCAGCCTCGTTCCAAGGAAGAACAGACAGCAGACTGCCTGTGAAAAACACCCCCAGCCGGTCAGTTAACTGGGCGGGGCATCAAAAAGTGATGCAGCTTCTGTGGATCGAACACAGTGCCTTCAGATTTATGATTGAAGTTTACTTCAGTCTGACGCTCTCCCAAATGAGCTAAAGCTGCTTTGATTGGATGAAACTTCCTCCCACTAATGATCTTTATAGGGGACTGTCCTAGTTCGTGGTAGTGTGGTGAAGCAACCTGCTCAAGTTTGTGTACTAAACCCCTTTTTATAAGACGGATCCTCGCAAAGCCACCAGACGTTTCTAGAAAGCGCATGGTTTCTTTCACACAACCAACTCCTAGCGACCATGTCATGCCTTGCCCAAAATATCCTCCGCCGCCTTCTCGCTGATCAAAAACGTAGCCACGACGGGAAAGGCCCGGGGCGAAAACGGAAACACGCTCCCATCGACAACCCTCAACCCCTGCACACCCCTGACCCAAAAACTTGGAGTCCAGAACAGCCATGACATCCCCTTCGGCACCCATCGCACACGTCCCCACTGCATGGTGGCCGAATACTTGGTCACGGACCCACTGCATATCGCCATCCCGGCATTGGGTCGAATTTCGGGACCCACACGGAGGTTCGGCCGGCCGGACCGGACTAAGTGGGGCCTCAACCCCGGCATACACCTACACAGTACACCCGTCTCGCCCAGGCCGCCGCATCCGCCATGGCGCCAAGATCAACACCTGCCCCCTTCTCGTCCGAGAACACATCAAAGTTAATCTCCGGTGTATCTGTCGGATCGGCACTGCGGATATTTGCCTGTTGCTATGGTGGCCCGGACCAGGTCGCGCGCACTAAATCGGCCCCAGGTCTGGTTGGCGTGGAAGGCCGTACAGACCCTGGTTTACATCGCGATTTGGGTCCACGGTGTTGATATCGCGCTGCACCATTTCTACGACATCAGCTGAGTCGCCACCCGTCATGGACACCATCGAGCGAAACACCTGCAGCATATCCGGCTGGCCCTCCCAAACGGTACCGTTGTTGCCGTTGATATCCAGGTATCCATCGAAGCCGTGTCCGGGAGTTCCGCGAGGAAGGTAGTGGTTCTTCTCGATTTTCTCTCACAACCTGCGGAACTTGGCATTGTTCCAGCTCTTGTCACCAGTTATCAAGCCAATGCGGTCCCAGTCACCATGGGCGGGGTGAACTTGAAGGATACAATGTGCATCCTGATGTCGGAGGTCTGGTCGTCGCCGGCTTCAAGGAGGAGGATCAAATGGCCTGCCTTGGCGAGGTTGACTGCCAGAGGGGCACCGCCAGGACCACTACCGACGATGGTGTAGTCATATTCATTATCGGTGGCGGTTGGTGAGCAGAGACTTGGAACCAGAAGGGCAATGAATGACAAGACAACGTGGAAGAGCATCATGGTGGGCAACTTACAGGTAGTTTGCAAAAACCAGACTACATTACTCCCCACGGAAAGTCCTGGCTTGATATATGCTGTACATGGGACAAATATTGGCGCCTACCGTGTAAGCCAACTGGGATTGTGTTTTCGGCAAGAAAACCGTGATTTATGAGTTGTACCGGGGTCATGCGCTTACCGTCTCGCCGCAAGTTCATTAACAGCGGCGGTTCGGTCTAGTCCTCAATTTGCATCCCGGGAAAACTCATTCGAGCCGTGGTCAATTTCGTCCCACAGCCAACTTAGTGTCTTAGGAATTCAATGCTCAGGACAGTTAATTTTAGCAATGAAGGTCAAACCTTGATTCCTTGGTAGTTGTTTGAGGTGCAAAGGTATGAATTACTGGTCAGACAGATCAGACAGAGCCCTTCTACGGAGGTCTGGCGTCCGACCTGCCCCCTGCCATTGGTAGGTACATAAGGCACCTATGTTTCCAGTAGAAGGCTATATGGAGGGACGACAGCGCCGTGTCGGAGAGGTGTGTGAGTCCAAAAGGCCTCCGAGACTCAAAGAACAGCGCCGTGTAAATGAGTTGCAGATTTCTCCGATAAGAGATCCGGCATTTACCTAGTGCTACGATTTCAAGCCATGTAACTAATTATATCATCATTCGCCTTGTCTTTTGCAATGCAGTGATGATCAATACCAAGCCATGATTGATTCCAGGTTTATTGGTCGCAGGTGTGGCGGTGCCGGAGCCACCAGGGGCTCACACTTTCAACTTTGAGTTTCTTTCCTGCATTCTAGCTGCACAGCCACTTATCCGGTTTGGTTGTTAATTCAAAAACCCAAGAACGAAGTTCATTAAGCGCCTAGAAGCTCTGGGAACCTTCTTGCGACGTTAATGCCAGCTTGTTGGGACGTAATGAGCGTGGGAGAAACGAGGTAGCGGTGAGGAATAGCCCAGAGCTCGCAGTTTCCATAGGGGGCCCTCCTGCTGAAACCTGCCGTAGCAGATGACGCCAAAAGTTATCGAATGAACTGCACAGTGCAAAGGCAACTTCCCAGCTGAAATAGCCCCCATTCTACGGTTTACGAATTTTGCGTTAAGTCTCAAAAGATTTTGCGGCGGCCGAAACCACTCAGAACCGGCATCTGTCCTCAGAGCTGACAAACAAAAGTGTTTCGTGGTGGCGAAGTTGTTGCAGACAGCCACTCAGAATTCTTCGCCTCCAGAGTCCGAGCCGATGCGATCGGGAGCAGCCGTCCCGGCCCGCACAGCCGCCTGTGTAGCAGGTAGCCACTACTAGCATTACCAAGCCCCCGGGTTGCTCTTCGAAACTGTTATGATTTATATAATATGGCTGCTGGTATCAACTCTACACGGACAACGATAACCGCAGTTTTTGTTGTCTACTATCCGGTCACCATGACGACCCCTGAAGACCGTTCAACAACAACTACTAATGACAGTCACAGCCATTCAGAAAATGAAAAACCCAAGCCGACTCCGGGAAACCATGTTAGAAAATTTGTTTGGGTGGGAATTCTGCGGTGGTTTGGCACTGTTGTTCTCGGAGTCGTCTTCTACATCATTATTTTTCTCCATCAAGGTCGTACCCTAACATCGACCCAAAAGTCTATCTTCGACGCCTTGATAGTCGCTGTCAGTTTAGCGCTCGGTCTCAACAGCGCAGCTTCTCTCAGACATATCGCGGTGTATACGAAACATTGGCTGGAAGGGAGACCACATGATGAAGGGAAAGAGGTAAGTTCACCTGATAACGACACATGAACTTGAAGTTGTGCTCACAAGCGATACAGGTCGAGGTCTACAGTTTTGTAGCCCTCATCCAACTGCTCACCAAAACACCACTGCCAATCCTCAAGGTCGCATGCATTGTCTGGCTTCTCCTAAACTTTGTAAGACAAACCTTCTCTCCACCTCTATCACCACATACTGATATATCCAGTCTATCCAAACCGCCATCTCCGCCATTGGCCTGACTTTCAAAGCCGAGCCCAGCATCCAAGACATCTATCTCGACTCAACCCTCGGCAACGTTACGATCCCCGATATGAGTCGTTTTGCCCGTGTCGGCCGCTTTTTCGACAGCGGACGTCCGCAATCCATCGCCGCCCACATGCTCGGCGACAGCGGCGCCGACTTCGCCTACTCAACCTTACCTTCCAACTCCCTGGCTGGCACCCCCGTCGCGCAAAACCCCTACGAATACTGGGACGCCGGAGGTCACTGGGAATTCATCTTCGCCACCTCGGCACCCGGAGCAGCCAGCGCGCAAGACTTCAACTTCCTCTCCGTCTACTCCAACCAGTCCGTCCGCTCAACAGCAACCTGCCGCACACCCAGCTACACATTCAACGACAGCTCCGCCACACTTGAAATCCGCACAGAAAACCAAACCATCCTCTTCCCCGGTGAACCCCTCGCCGACGAAGCCATGACCTACCTCACCGAGCCCATCCTCTCCCAGAACCCAGACAAGCCCATAACAACCGGCATCTGCGGACCAGGCTGCAGCACAGTCCACGTCCTCGAACCGATGACGGCCCAACCAGTCGAGGACCCCGAGTCCGCCTTCCAACCAGGCTCGTATTTCTACTACTACCAATGCAACGTCACGCTTACACCCGTGGGAGGAGACGACAACCACGCAGGCATGTTCAACCTCACGCCCACCGCCGCGGCCGTCGCGGCGCAGGCCATTGCCTTGTCTGGCGCGCGCCCGCCGGGGCCGACGGCGAATACGACGGGGACGGGCATGTATACCGCGTATACTCTGGGCTTGGAGTTCGGGCAGGCGCAGAGCAATAACGCGACGGGCATGGCGAGGATGCTGTCGCGGTTTGCGATTGGGGTCGTGGCTGCGGCGGCGAGGACGAATCCGAGGATGGTGGTCGGGGGGTATCCGCCGCGGCAGGGGGTGAGGTTGGTGCTGGACAAGCCGGTCGCGTTTGGGGGGATTTTGGTGGCGACGGCGGTGGTGCAGTTGGGGTTGTTGATTGGGGCGGTGGTTGCAGTACTGTCGGGGACTGGAGGCAAAGGAGACGGTAATGACGGGATCACGAGAAAGAGGGAGTGGGACTGGTAATGGGTATCTACCTAGGTACCTATAGAAGTAACCTTTAGTAATGTCTAATAAATTTCATGAAACTGCCTGCTAGCACGATATTTGTGGGACTTTCCGACTAGTTACGTGCGAGACCGACCATTATAAACAGTGCAACGGCGCTGCAGGGAGCGCTGTAAGGGTTGCAGTAGGCCACTGTGGTCCTCACGCGAGGTTCGTTTGTTCCGGCTATTTCCGACTTCGATTACATACCGACTTCGGCAGCAAGGATCTTGCATGTGGTTGTCAGGATGTATATAAAGGAAGCCTTTTCCACAAGTCCTCGATTTCCATCAGTATTCATCCCGTTGATGTCTCAAGGTCTGCCTTTCAATCTACTGGTCGTGGTCACCTCCGATTGCCTGAAAGTCAAAGATCTAAGACAGTGTCATCAGTCTAGATTCCCTCCAAACCTCGGCAACCTTGGATTTCTCAATGGCAGACAACGACAGCTCTTCAACCGATAAATCTAGCAGAGCGCTGGAGCCAAGCGGCCGCAGATCCTCCAGCAGCGGCGCTGAAAGCAGGCCCTCAGCTACATTCGACTGCAACCCCAAAGACCGTTCTGAGATTCACTCTGGAGGCAATCGCCAAAAGAAGCGGCGACTGAGCTACAGCGATTCAT